GGGGGGGGGGGGGGGAGATTAATTCGTACAAAAATAAGGCGTATTTTTGTGAATTATTTGTGACGACACAGTTAAAATCTCTTTATTAAAACCAATAGTACATGAAAGTATGACATTCGAAGAATATTGTATAAAATTTTCACGGAGAAATATTAAAAAATACGGCAATGGCAGTAATAATTATGATGTGTCTCGGAAAATTGTGGTGCCCCTGATAACTTGGTGCTGGATCATCTGAAATCAAAAAATCAAAGTTCATTCGTTAGGTAACAGTCTTCCACAGGTAACGCTGGGAGAGTTTTTCAAAATTTCAATTTTTCACTTTTTTGGAACACTTTGAAGAGGATATTAGCCGCAAATTTTCGCAAAGTCGGCTAATTTATCCCTTCAAAGTGTTCCAAAAAAGTGAAAAATTGAAATTTCGAAAAGCCCTCCCAGTGTTACCTGTGGAAGACTGTTACCTAACGAATGAACTTTGATGTTTTGATTTCAGATGATCCAGCACCAAGTTATCAGAGGCACCGCAATTTTCCGAGACACGTCCGAATAATTACTGCCATTGCCGTATTTTTTAATATTTCTCCGTGAAAATTTTATACAATATTCTTCGAATGTCATACTTTCATGTACTATTGGTTTTAATAAAGAGATTTTAACTGTGTCGTCACAAATAATTCACAAAAATACGTCACAAATAATTCACAAAAATATGCCTTATTTTTGTACGAATTGACCTTCCCCCCCCCCCTTAATTGAGTCGCTTAAACGTGTTTTAGTGGCAGGCGTTTTTAAGAATCCGTTTGGGATTGTGCCATGCGGCGCGATAGCGCTTCGTTCATTTGTTTGCGAGGAATACCGATCGACGCGATCGCGCTGCTCTTTTTTCGTGTATGCAGGTGGTTTACGACTATTTGAAAAAAAAGTCATTACGAGAGGAAACTGATATGACTCGCGACGAGCTACATTCGGAACCGAGCGCATTGCGAATTGACGATCGTGACCAAACATCACGACACAGTTCACCACAGTACGCGAACGATGCGATCGCGCTGCGTCCACCTAAAACGATTAAAAAACATTCGAAACGCTTGATCGATTCGAACGCCAACACGCGTATAAAACAACTGTGTAATAAACGGTTGATTAGGGAACGAAATAGCATCGTTACGAGACATTCGAGAGTTTTATAGCTGCAAAAAGCTGGGATCTTATATCAAATAGCTTTACTTAAGTCTGCCATGAGAGAGGTTAGAAATCGTTAGTTTAGTTTAAGGTCGTTCGACCCGGTCGGTTATTGTCTCGCAGAAGCTGATGTTGCGCGATCGTCCGTATCGTCCATCGTTCGTCGATCGATGTTTCTCGGGAATGCACGCGAGAACGATCGAAGATCGCGCGCAAAGATAACGTCGGCCGCGTTCTAGATGACCCCGTGACCGACTCGACGCGTCCAAGCAACGACGAGGAATAGTTGCACGAACGATCGGTCGCTTTCACTCGTTGGCACTGGCGATGCCTACGACGGAATTCACGACGTCGCGTCGTTCCGGAAAGTCCGCCAAAAACAAGTGCCGCGACAAGATCCCGTTTTGAAAACGAATAAACAGGAAGCGAGTATCTTATCGCGCAAGATCCTCGAAAACAATTTCGCTTATTTATCTTTTCCAGCTCTATCGTTTTCATCGATAGGACTAATTCTATATTTGTATTTTGTATCTTTTTATATCGATACATCTGTTGAAAATATCTTTAATTTAATCTCTTTTATAAATTAATTTCAAAGAGTGGCTGATCGAAGTGAAGGATAATGGTTTTAATTTTTCTAAAGAGACGAATGGTCAGAATTGAAATATAATTAACACGTTGAATGCCACGCCAGTTTTACAAGGTTTGGCCGTGGAGCCACGATGAATTTTTTATTATACGATACATGTAATGTTGAAGTATTACCTACAAGAGATTCATAAAATTAATTTCAATGAAATAATAAATAAATAAAATTTCAAACGTTCGAAACGTTCGTTTAGGGTTATTGTTCATTAAGGTAAAACACGGAAAAAGCGGGTTTTCCCCATGTTCGATAGCCATTGGAGGAGGCGCAAATAATATTAGGTGAACACCACCTAATGACAAAATCCGCAATCACTTATTTGCCAACTCAATAGATCTATATTTCATGTATAACTAAAATAATTTTTGTATGCTTTATACTGCATTAATTTTGTCACACCATTGTAGTAACGATGGTAATAATACAAAATTTATAACTATCGACATTTGTTCAAATTATGTATTTCTACTAATATCGATGCGCCAGTCATCAGTGACTCTCACGGCGCCACGGCCAAGTTGAGTGCCAGTCACCGGTGACCCCCTGGGCATTCAACGTGTTAAACGTCTAGGAACGAATCGTTTAGAAATAATAGAAATAGAAGATAGTAATCTATTCGTTGAAAGAAACGTTGTTATCTCCGCTGCTCTCTTCTCCTCTTTCAACCATCCTTGCCACGATTCCACAGGTTCCACTTATTCCACGTTCCATTTATTCCACGTTCCATTTATTCCACGTTCCATTTATTCCACGTTCCATTTATTCCACGTTCCAGCGACTTTAACCCTAGAACTACCGATAATTAACATGATAGCTATTTCTATCAAAACCAGTTAAAATGACTGGCCTTTAGAAAATACGTAATAATAGAATATTTTTATATTTATCGATTTATTACTTTCTTACAGAAGGAATTCCATATTATGTAGTACATTTTTGGTATTGTTAATCCATCTGGGACCATAATCCCCAAACGAGGATTGACACATTTATAAAATTATAGAATCAGTCATTTTTATTGGTGTGGTACTTCTTGTGTTGGCGTCTAGCGATTTGGCGATCGATCCGGAATTTTCCTGATAACTAATATCATCATATGGAATGATACGCAGTAAAAATTTGGAAAACGTGTAGGAAGTTGTACAAAACGAGGAAATTGGGGTTAATTGGGGTTCGATAAACAGATTGCAGGACCCTTTTACATTTTGACAAGTACCAGTCATTACGACTGGTATTGGTATAAGTAGCTTTGATACAAAATTATTTTCAGTTTGAATGCATAAAAAACGAAACAAAATTCATTATATTATTCTTTTAGTTACCGTTGCAAAAGTCATTACATCATTACGGAGAAAAAATATAACACGAAGTAGGAATTATAAAATAAAATTGTAAAACCAGTCAATTCGACTGGTGTGGTAGTTCTAGCGTTAAATATCTGGATAGTCGCGATCGAAACGCGCTTCGTGAGATTTGCCAGGTGGCAGCGGTGAGCACGACCATAATAATACCTGTACTAATTACGATCACAAACGCGAATTTCAGATGGAAAGGAATGCGACGCTCTGGTGTGCTACCACGAGAAAGACTCGAGCCTGGTCATCGGTATAGTGATACCCACGCTGGAATCGAGGCACCGGTACAAGTGCACGGCGCTGGAGCTCTCCCAGTTGAATCAGAATTGTAAGTCTCGGGTTTAATTAAACGCGGCACCGAGTCGCTCTCCGAGGGAGAAACTGCTCGTTGATAGCGTTATTAAGTTTCCTGTCGCGTGGTCGACCGAAAGGGTAAAGTAAAGGCTATTCCAAGGTCTCTAGGGATAGCTCGGTTCCTCGGAATCTCGCTAGATCCCTTCTCGCGATCGAGCGCGTAGCTGTTGCGGCCAAAAACCGCCCAACACCCTCGCTGCAAACTCTAAACCCTGGTTTCCTTGGGAAGCGAGGGAGGATCGACCTGGGAACGCCGACTGAATCTCGCGCGCCTTCTGCCACTCGACGAAACAGCGCAACGACGACGACGACGATGACGACGACGACGAGTCTTCGTTTGAACCGAGGTTTGCCACGTTTAGTCAACGAGACTCGGAACAACGTGCACGTTAAGATGCTTTTAATTTTTGCCACGTAACGTCGCTCTGGAGACCGCTGTACGACGTTGCGATGATCAGAAATCCAGGGAAAACGATAACGGATGGTATTTTGGCGGAGAAATTGGCGAGAACGAGCGACGAATAGGATCTCGCGAAGGGAAAAGGCGAAAGGAAAGCTGGCGAAACGGGGACGATTACCGGGAACAAAGGCGAACAAAAGTTTACGGGGTATAACGCGATCTAGTTTCGCAGCCACGTCGTCCATCCTGGTTCCGCATCTCATGAATATCAACGGCTAGGTGCTCAGCGTTGATAACGGGTGCTCGGTGAAAAATATTCAGACGCTAATTTCCTTCTAATTGGCAGGACGAAATTGGGCCGTGTAGGTGAGCGAGCGGTCGACCGCCCAATTTTATTAATGCAAATTGCCCCGCGCTGCCGGCTCCGATCCACCGATGCAAACTAGCCTATACATAAATTTTGTTCGCCATCGTGGTCGCCGGCTGCCCTTTCTCCTTCTGTCTTTCGCGTGTGACACGAAATCAATATGCGCGTTTTTCGGACTAAAAGTCGTTCGTATCGCAGTTCGGAAAATCTTGTTCCTCATGGCGAACGATGCACGCAAGCTCGGCGAATGTAGAACCGGAAGCTGCCGGAGAAAGGGCGATCTATCGGGATCGCGGAACCGTGGTCCGGTGCATGAAAGTTTGCGAATTGAATTAGGAAGTTGGGATCGGCTTCTTTGTCTGACGTCAAGCGTTTCGTTTGTCGCTCTGATTCTAGCAGCCGCGGTTTCGAATTAAGCGTATGCGGTACCGTTTCCTTCGCTGATTCTGCGTTTGCGCTCCGCCAACTTCCGATAACGCGTGCCTGAATCGAGAAACCGTTTCGTTCGCGCATTTCTTCTCTTTGCTCGCTCTCCGTTTCCCACTCGTTCTCGATTCGTCGTTGAAAGCGAACTAACCTCGGAATTTTGGAAAGCAGACGGAAGAACGGTTGGAAGTGGAAGAAAGCTTTGGCCGAAGTTGCACGAGCTCGGATGCAACTCGAATTTTCCGCATCGACGGTTGCGTAGCTCCGATTCAAAAGTACTGGTCAAGCAAAAGAGAGAGAGAGAGTGAGAGAGAAACGCGGTGAAAGCTTTCTATGGTCGTGGCATAGTTGGCTCGCGTGCCGACTCGGCGGAATCCAGTTCATCCTTTGACTGATCGTCCATTTTGTTGGTAATTCATCAAACATCGGCGAACAAACGACAGGATGCCGATAAAGCTCGGTGCTCGCGCCTAAACGTCTCTCTACCAACGGTTATCGATGCCGAGGAATTTTCCAATCGCGATCCAGTCGATGACGCCGATTTAACGTTTCGTCGTTGTCGTTCGTCCGTACGTACGTACATCGTCGGCGCTCTAATCTCACGAATTATTTCCACAGACGAAGGAAAAGAAATACAACGATTTTTCTTTCAGGGGGTGTGGAGATCGGGCCGCACGCCGTTTCCAGTCGAAGAGTCATCGTGGTGCTGAGCCCAGAGTCGCTGGGAAACGTTTGGAACGAGACGAACGTGGGGGTTGTCCTGAATCAGCTGTCTTCTCTCACCACTCGAACGATAGTCATCATCACCAAGAATCTATTGAACACGACCGCGATCGCGAAACGATCGAGTCGAGCTTACAACAACATACGCGAATACTCGCTCGATCGTTTGAAGGTCTTGCATTGGAACGACACCGGCAACTTAGGTTCCGGCAGCCACACATTTTGGTACAAGCTGCGGCTCGCAATGCCACCGATTCGACCGATCAGCTCCGAGAGCGGCTGCCAATC